AAGTCATGCTTATGTTAAAAGCAACAAAGTGCTTTATATGCAAATATGAAAGCTGAGGTGTGGTAGCTTTTCCATTTATACTAAATTCATATTATGACTGTTTAAATTATGCGTTCAGTCCAATGTCATGTCCATATTAAACGGGTATGATGTTCGATTTGAATATCTAATAAAAGCCCTATTAACGCTGTAAATGAATCAAGATGAGTCAATTGTTGTCTTATTTTAAGTTGATTCATTTTTTTTATAGGGTTTAGGTTTGGATTGAGCTTACTAGATTACTCATTTTTTAAAATTTTATTTAAGCTTAATTAAGAGTTTTCATGCAAAGTTTGAGTTGTAATTAAGACTTAATTGAATTTAAATAATTATATAAGTAATGTTAGTCATTTAAGCATATAGCATAACTATTTGGTATAAATGAATTTATAGATTTTGATTCATTCACTAATGTAAATAAAGTGACAAAAATAAGTAGAAGATCCTCAAAACATGGCTATTTACAAAATCATTCAGGTAGTTTGAAATGTTCTTTTGTAACAACAAAACAAAGGAGATCAGTTGTAAACGAATAAATTTATAAAAAGTTTGCAATATTTGCCTTAATTTCAAGTACACTTTTCAAAAGCATCCAAGACACAACAAATGCATAACTTCGACCCTTCTCCATAGTAAATTAAGAGACACAACTTGTTAAAATAACTTACAGCGGCCATGATTGAAAGTTTAAGAAGATTTCTTCTGTTTTTTGGTCTGCCATTCTTGGCGAGCCTTCTGAATCTTGTCATGCACATTGGCTTGAAAACCAGGATATGGTTCATATCCAAACAAGCTTTCAAGTACCTATGGATTAATAAATGGCAAGTCAGCACGCACTGAGATGTGTTAAGCCTTGAACTCAAGATCTTATGGCTGGAGATGACGCTGTCGATTGCTAGGTTAAAAGTGATACACCTGATGACTCTAGTTGTTAAATTTACTTTAAAATAGTATAATATGAATTTCCACACACATCTCAAAGCAAATTTAATGATCATGAGTAGGAGCTGAGTTCACGTCAAACCACCCTTGGCTTGAGCTTAAGCTTGAGCTTGATTAATTAATAGAGTTCAAGCGAGCTCATGAGCCGACGTGTTTCTTATAAAAGAGAGAAAACAATATTAATTAAGACTAGTTTTATACTAAAATGATAAATAGAATAAGCAATTAGGAGATAAGTAATAAAGAAATTACTTAATAAAAATAATAAATATAAATATATTATTTTTAAACAGTTTTAATAATTTAAAGATATCCTAAATGTAATATAATTTTAGTATATTATATATTACTATTTTTTTTAAATGAGCCTACTCAAAAGTAACAAGTCGAGTTGGGTCTGCAGGCTTAAGATTGGCTTGTTATTTGATCGAGTGCTCAAGTCAGCTCATGAGTTTGCTTGGCTCAATTAACCTCTTATCTAAAGCCATGAGCCAAATTTACTTCATTTAAAAGACTCTTCTATCTTTGTACATGAATGTAAAAACTCTGGGGGAGGGGGAAGAGTACCTCAAGCAAGACAAAGAATGGAGCCATTACAAAAGCTTGACAAAGGTTGTCAAGAAGAGCTGGTGCACGTTTCTGCAGAAACAAATCATGATGTAAAACATGAGTTCACATTCAGGTTAAGAAGTACAATTAAGAGAAGACAATATCTTATGAAAGGTGTTTATGATTTACCTCGAATACTCCATGGCCTATAAATTGTCCTGTCCAGCAGGACAACTGAGCAGCAAGAACTACCTGCCAACATTTATTGAAGAAATTATCACTTGGCGAAAATTTTTTGTTTAAGAATAATCGAGGTGACTGGGCTACTTTTTGAACAATTATGTAGGCATGAAGAGAAGCAACGAAATGATATGCGCATCATGATAAAAAATTATAGACCCACAAACTTGCCAGAAAGGAAAATTTATATATCTAGCACACAGTTCTTATGTGTTTACATATCTCACGCCTAAACTTTTGTATTTACATACAGCACTTTGGTGCTTTAAACCTATGCAAGAAAAGATGTTTTTCACTTTTAAAAAGTGATAATAATGCTATTTTTTATGTAATATTAAAGATTTGAATGCTACGTGTGTGAAAGTTTAGGTGTGAGATATGTAAATAAATAAGAATTGTGATCTATTTATCTACCAAAATCATAAGAGAGGAGCTAACGAATTTTAGAGGTGAAATGGCATGACCAATTATTTCACGAAATAAGGTTAATTTGCCATGATTAGATAATCCCATGTTCATTTCTTAGAGCCTTAGTTTTACATTCAAAAATACTGATATTGTTGATTAATATAAGATAGAAAATAAAACTATTTAGTTCAAGAAATTAGTTAGATGATTGTTTTGGCAGAACTGTACGATTTTTTTTTATACGGACAGTATAGGTAAGAAAAAAATTCACAGCAACAGCTAGATTTCAGCCATTGTTTTTCAACAAAAACTAACTTGTTTCTTGTGTTAAAACTAGCAGACAGATCAATTGGTTTATAACATTGAACAATTGAATTGCACTTCAGGATGGTATTAGATATAGAAACTAAAACAATATCAAGGTCCTTAACAGAATCTATCTTGATAAGTTATTTAAACTATTTCAAAGACACTTCAATCTGCTGGTCTTTACAATTTTCCTAAATCTCAATGACTTTACTGAGGATGTTTAGTACCAAGTTTCTCTTCAGTCAGAGGCAATAAGAAAGTTTGACAGCAGGGTTGAGTTTAATAAGGTTCAAGTTATGAGTAAATAGAAACCAGCTGATACTGCAAAATTTGAAGTTCTTACTGTATGCTTATCAATGGATCCATCCACAGTAGCTTTTAACAAGAGACTCACAAATTAATAATAATAATAAGACTAATAACAAGAAGAAGAAGAACAATAATAATGATAATAATAAAGAATTTGCAACATAATTTATTCCACCTTAATATGAATTCCCCGATTTAAGGAATATAGAATAAGATTTTAATCTTCAGAAAATATTTTTCATCACTTCATGCCAACCAACTATAAGCAGTGCTCAAACTTAGCAATAGGGAATGCCTTAGTTATTATTGACAGGATTATCATGAATACTTATTTTACTCACAATAAAATCACCAAGAGCAATAAATTCGAAAATGAAATGATAATGAACATTAATATTTTTAGTTCTATCATGAAATATCTGATTCTTAATGAAATAAATAGCACACTGATTATGACACATTACACTAGCAATATTAATTTACTAAGCTCTTCAAACAAATCTTTCAACAAGAGCATCTTTGCAATCTTCAATAGTTATTGTGAACTCAGTTTAAATTATAGACAATACCATCGTGATCAATAAATTAGATTTCCAATTGATAGCACAACCACCAATAATAAACACATATCCAGTGATCACCTTCTATCAAGTTCTCCAGCAAAGTATGAATCAAATCACTAATGACCCCATCTGTATCCTTCCTAAATTGCAAACAAATGTCTTTATCTTCTCGCAAGTACTTGAGAATCCATTGAACTGCTAGTGTTTCTTACCAGTAGCCATATGCCTATTAACAACACTTACTGATTACCATGCCTCTGTCGACTTTCAAAACTCTACCTTCATCAGGATATCTATAAATTTTATATTAAGAGTACTTAGGGAAACTAAATTCTTCTTTAGATCAAGGATATGTCCACATTATGAGAAATCGAGAAATGCACCAGCTATGTAAACTCTATTGCTATTGATATAAGAAGGAGACCTGAGAGCCTCATTTACACTATGTGATATTAAAAAGTAAAGGGGTAAAAGTTTATATAAATAAAGTTGTTACAGGGAGGTATATATAAAGGCAGAACATAGGAATATTCTGGAAGGGAACAAGACCCCGACACCATTGATGGTTGGCAGAAAAAGTGGCAGCATAATTCCTTATGCGGTCTAATGGAGTAGTGTTATTACACCCCTCAAGCTAGCTATCAGGTTGAGTGATTGTTAGCTTTCTCCAAAGATTGTTGAAGATAGGTGCGGTATGACTCTTTGTAAAAATATCAGCCACTTGAACCGAAGAGTTGATGTGCATGAACTGAATTGCTCTCGATGTAATATGGTCACGAATGAAATGGTAGTCGATCTCAACATGTTTTGTGCGAGCAAGAAAGATTGGGTTGAGACCGATAGCTATTGCGGAAATGTTGTTCCAAAAGATTGGGGTGGGAGTGTTAGGTGAAATTTGGAACTCTTAAAGAAGTCGATGAAGCCATAGAACGTCGGTTGTAGTTGCAGCAAGAGCATGATATTCGGCTTTTGTGAAGGAACGAGCTAATGTTTTTTGCTTTTGAACAGTTTGGGAGATAAGGGTGCTGCCAAGAGATGTACAGAAGCCGGTGGTAGAGCACCTGTCCAGTCCAAGACGAAATTATCTACGGAGTTATAGGTTGCCTGTGGTGATTGGGAGACAGAAGTTGATGGTGCCTTTTAGGTAATGTGGTAGACGCTTGATTAGTTGGAAATGATATATTAGGGGGTGGTGTATGGTAATATCAGGCCTGGTTGTGGTAAGGAATTGAAGAGAGCAGGCTAGTTGTCGGTATTGTGTGAGAACATGGTATTCTTGGAGGGAGGATTGATCGGGTTGTATCTTGTGAGGAAGAGGAGTTTGGACAGGTTTGCAAGAAGACATGCCAAGTTGTTGTGGGCTAAAATGTAAGAGGATTGATGGAGAAGGTAGCCGAATGATGTTTGTTGAGTGGTGATACCAAGAAATGTTATGATGGTACCGAGATCCTTAATTTGGAAGTCAAGTTTTGAGGTTTTGAGTGAGGCTAGCAATGGCGTATGTACTATTGCTTGGGATAAGGTTATCATCCACATAAACTAGGAAATAGGTTGTGGTTTGATTTTTATTGTTGATGAAAAGGGAGGGGTTGGCGGTGTTGAGGTGAAAACCTTTGGTGTTTAGGCATGAGATAAGGATAGAGTACCATCTCCTTGTAGCTTATTTAAGGCCATAAAGTGCCTTTTTGAGGAGACACTCTTTTCGGATATTGAGTGCCATGGAATTCTTGAGGTTGAGTCATGTAGATGGTTACATCTAAGGATCCATGGAGAAATGTGTTGGAGACATCAAGTTGTTGAATTGGCCAGTGGTGGTGAGTTGCAGTGGAGAGAAGAATTCATATGGTAGGCATTTTGGCGATGTGGCTAAAGGTTTCGGTTTATTGAATGTCGAGTTGTTGCTTAAAGCCCCATGCAACTAGTCTTGCCTGAATTTGAATGTTGACCCCTCTTGAGGATATTTAGTATGATATGAGTTTTTGCAACCAATGATGTTTGTCGGGGGGGGGGATGGGAAACGTTCATGAAGAGAATCCAAGTTCTTTGTCATTGGAGTGTGTTATTTTAACCCCCAATTAATGAACTAAGGTAAAAGGACAATTTTGTAATGTGGCACCGCCACCTACCACATCTCACCAACCGCCCACCTACCTCCTACCTACCACTTTCTTGATTTTATAAATAGAGAGGGTGTGAGGCCTAGGAGTGCAAGGCAAGAGATTTTCAGCTACCACAAAGGAGGAGAGAATAACTAGAAAGCTAGAGAGGAGAATAGCATCTTGAGGCCTTGTATCAAAGTGTCGCTTGAGAGGGAGGTCATAGAAGAAAGATGAGGGCTCATCTCTATGTATAAGCTATGTATTCTCCATTTATTTTGCCTTAGTGAA